CCTGAAGCTCAACACCCAGTCGACCTCAGAACCTCCAAGCTCTGAAGGCCTGAAACTCCTTACGCATGCTGCTGAGCCCCAAATCCTAAACTTGAAGACCCCAAGACCGAGGTTTAGGGTTTAGGGTTTAGGGAGTCACAATGAAAAAAGCATGAGCACCAGAAGGAAAGCTTCTCGCGCGCTTCCATGCAATGCACCTTAGTTACACCCCCAAAATCCTGCCTCAACCTACCATACCCTACTTTTTTGTAGGTTCTTATTATCAACCCTAAGGAGGGATTTATAGGGACCCTACAAAAAAGTAGGTTCTGGTAGGTTAAGGTAGACCCGTGGCGTCGCAAACGCGCCTCCTTCAAGGCCCGGATCACGACCTCTGCACTGAGAGGCGTGACCTGTCGACGCTGCATATCTTCAAGCGTCGGCATGGCTTATGGCCCTCAGAGTTGCTAGGATGTAGGTTTCTTGTTTGAGGTGTAGGGCCAAGGGTTTTTGAATTAATTATCGGGTTTGGCGGTTTAGGGCTTTAGGGTCTATAGGATTTAGGGTGGTCGTATTTGGGGCTTTAAGACCAGCTTTTTTTAAGATCCCTAAAACACACCCTGCTGCCTGCGCCTGCTTGAGGGCCACACCCACCACCTGGCAAGTTCAGGGTGCTTTTGTTTTTTAAGCGCTCCTTTTTCAGTCCGCCGAAGCATCCCAAAGAGCCCCTAGGGGGAGTTCAGGGTTTAGGGCCGAGGGTTTAGGGTTTAGGGCCCAGGGTGTGGGGTTTAGGGCCCAGGGGGTTTAAGTTGAGGGCGGTTTAGGGCCTAGGGTTTAGGGTTTAGGGCCCAGGTGTAGGGTTCAGGGCCCAGGGTTTAGTGTCGGAGTTTTGGGCGCCAGCACAGCAGGCAAACGAGGAAGGATCTTCACAGGGATCCGCAAGTCTTGTAAGGAGCCCGAGCGATGAGACTAGGGTTTCTATAGTATCACAATAACAAATAACATACCAGAATACTGTCTTTCGTTCCTGGTTTGTCGAACAGAGCCTCTGAAACAAAGTCCAACTATCAAGAGCATAGTACAGCAATAACAACAAGTAGGATACGAACAACAATCATCATCACATCGGTAATAGCAGCATGAATTATCGCACCCAGCTGTAGCTTGAAAAGAACACCAGAAAACTAGAAGCTTAGACACATATTTGTTGTACTCAGCTCTCCATTTTTTAAGAGGCAAAAACCAAGAACATTCTTAAACATAATATATGTATGTGTATATGTATATAGACAGATAGATAGATAGATAGATAGATAGATAGATAGATAGATCGATCGATAGATAGATAGATAGATAGATAAATAGATAGAGGGAAAGAGAGAGCGAGAGAGAGAGAGAGAGAGAGAGAGAAAGAGAGAGAGAGAGAGAGCGAGAGAGCTCCATTTAAAAGACAAAAGACAAGAAACTCCCTAAACCCTAAACCCTAAACCCTAAACCCTAAACCCTAAACCCTAAACTCCCGGTCGCTGCCTGGGCGGGGGGCCGGCCGGCCCCGGGTCCAGCGGCGGTGCGCAGCGCGAAGACCACCTGGCAGCCGGGTTTAGGGTTTAGGGTTTTGGATTTGGGATTAGGGTTTTGGGTTTTGGGATTAGGGTTTAGGGTTCAGGGTTTTGGGTTTTGGGTTTTGGGTTTTGGGTTTAGGGTTCAGGGTTTAGGCTTTAGGGTTTAGGGTTTTTGGGTTTAGGCTTTTGGGTTTAGGGTTTAAGGTTTAGGGTTGAGGGTTAAGGTTTCGGGATTAGGGTTTAGGGTTAGGGTCAAGGTTTTGGGTTTTGGGTTTTGGGTTTTGGATTTAGGGTTGAGGGCTTTCGGGTGAAGTTTAGGTGTAGGGGCACTTTGTGTTTAGGGCTTTGGCTTCCGGAAGTTGGGGGCTTGCGGAGGCTGTTGGCCTAGACTGCCGGAGTGCACTAAGCGTCGCAAATCAGGTCCCGGCGTGAAGCTTAAGGCTCTAGGGTTTAGAGCTTAGGGCCTATAATTTAGGGCAGTGTTAGGGGTTAGGGGTTAGGGCTTCTAGGGTTTATAGGGCTTAGAACGACTTCCCAAATCCACCTCCTCGGGTGTGGACATTCCGCCCGCTGCAGGCGGAACGGCTCCCGCCCCCGCTGCGCCAGCAGCGGCGGCTGCCATGGCCTTCTGGATATCCTGAGGGCATGAGAGCTACCTGCTTGGTAGGCGCCGAAATGGTTTCGGGTTGTTAGGGTTGTTACGGTGTTTAGGGTTGATCGGGTTTGGAGTGAGCCTGTTTTTCTGCATGGGGATTACACAGCAGCCTCAACTTATTCGACTTGGGATGTCATGGGATTTGTATCGAGTTTAATACAGGGGCCTTTGTAACTTGACCAGAGTTTTGGGATGCCTTGGGTCATAGTATAGTACATTTATTCTGTAGGCCCTAAACCCTAGACCCTAAACCCTAAACCCTAAACCCTTCTGTAGGGACTGTAACAGGATGATAGTACTAACTCTTCTGACTGCTGTATCAGGCTTCATGAAGCTTCGGGCCTGGGCCTCAAGGGGCCTTGGGTTTAGGGTCTTTGGGGTTGACGGTTTAGGGGTTTAGGGTTTAGGGTTTAGGGTTTAGGGTTTAGGGTTTAGGGTTTAGGGTTGACGGTTTAGGAGTTTAGGGCTTAGGGTTTAAGAAGCCCACGCAAAAGCAATTTAGGCTTGAGGGTCGGGATCCGTTGTACGGAGGATGTTGTTTGGCATGGGAGGCGCACTTTTCAGTAGGAGCTACAAGACGGGCTCTCCTAATCAGAATCCAGTTCTGCTGTAAATCGTGCAATACCTGTATAGTTACTCTATATATATATATGCATACATATATAGAATAGATATAGATTTAGATACAGATATAGATACAGATACAGATGGTTTTGTTTCTATATATATATATATGTGTGTGTGTGTGTGTGTGTGTTTCTATGTATGTATATATATATATATGTTATACATATATAGATGTATATCTGCACGATGAAGAGATGCTACTCTCAAACCTCCTCGGCAGGCGTCGCTCGCCCAGCGGCCTCGAATGGGCTCGGATGGCTCCGGTGTAGGACCCAAGTAGAATGAGGGGTGTATGAGGGGGTTTCGGGTTTAGATTTAGGGCTTTTTATGGCTTAGGGGCTTAGGGTTTAGGGTTTAGGGTTTAGGGTTTAGGGTTTAGGGTTTAGGAGATTCCTCGTTCATATGCCACAGCCGCATGGGTCAAAAACCCTAGACCCCATTGTCCCAAGAGCCCCTGAGCCCTCCTAAACCCGAAATCCGAAACCCGAAAACCCTAATCCCGAAACCTTAACCATCAACCCTAAACCCAAAACCCTAAACCCGAAACCCCGAAACCCCCCTGCAGACCTAAGCCCTAAAGCCTAAAAGCCCTGAGCCTTATAGCATAGTTCAGGGATTTTCAGGGTTTAGAGTCCCTACCTAAACCCCACGCCCTGAACTAAGGGCTACTTGCGAAACCCATTGCGGCCCGGCCTTCAAAGCCCGCAGCACGTTCTCCCGTGATGCCGGCAGTCCTGGCATCAAAAGCTCGGATCTGCGAGGGTTTGAGGCCATTGATCTTAGGGTTTAGGGTTTAGGATCTAGGGTTTAGGGTTTAGGATGTAAGGTTTAGGTTTAGGGTTTAGGATTTAGGGTTTAGGGTGTGGGGCAGACTGGGCAAGCATTGAACTTCTTGGTTACTTTATCGGAATAGACTTACTACTTCGAACCGAATTAAGATGGGGTTCGGAGGTACAGTACAAGTAACTATATGTATACAGTTCTATCAGGAGTATGAGGGGATACTGCTACGGAGTAGTCAGACTTCCATATTGCATTCCGAATTTTGAGGGCATTGTACGGCTTAGGATTTCTTTAAGACGGTTTAGGGCATGGGATTTGAGATCACGATGTTGGCTGCACATGCCACTAAGGTTTAGGATGTGAAGAGTTGGTGTAGGCTGTGAATAAGATATCCTTCGGGCAGGATATGCCCCCAAGGCAAGAAAAACTTGCAACCCCAAGTCACCTTCTTCCGTCCCAAATGTAAGGCTTGGGGTGGTTCGTTTTGAAACTAACTCAACTCCTCACACTGCACGGCGCAGAGCACTGTGCGGAGCCCTGACGTGTGCAGGGAAGGAAGACCCCAACTACACGTTCTTATTCCTTGAAACCTAAGCTAGGCAAGGCCGCGAACCCAATAACCGACCAGCCACATCTCAACAACATTCCTAAAATACTTCTCAAACCTCCAGCACCTGACAGTAGATGCCCCAAAACGGGGACGCAGACAAATGTACCCTTGAGACTTTAGTCTCCGAAATAGTTCAAACACCGCTACACTCTCATGCCGACGCCCCAAACCAAACACCCCAAGCCCCTTCCTGAGGCTACCAGGGCTGCGCCAAGGACTTCTGCAGGTGCCTCACCTGCCTCCTGGCTTCAGGGAGTCTTACCCTAAACCCTAAACCCTAAACCCTAAACCGTGGGGAACTCGGGAGTGTAAGATCTTGGACTTTGCGGCTTTGGGCCTTGGTCCTGTAGGGTCGAAGTTTGATGTTTCGGGTGTTGGGCTTACGGCTGATAGGGCTTGGGGTTGAGGACGTATAGGGCTTAGGGAGCTTTCATATCCTTTTTGGCTTGAAGCGGAAACTGTTTAGGGGTCATTGGCTTTGTTTAGGGGTTTGGGGTTTGGGGGTTTTGGGTTTGGGGGTTTGGGGTTCGGGGTTTAGGGCTCATCGGTTTAGGGTTTAGGGTTTGGGGTTTAGGGTACAACTCAGCATTTCGGACCCAGGCCTAAACCCGATAAGATCACATCTAAAGGTCCGGGCTCGGCGGAAGGCGGGTCCTTTCCAACGAGGGCGAGCAGTGTCTCCACCACCTCGAGGCCCGGAGGTGAGAAAGACAGGGAGCTTAAAAAGGCAGCATGGGGTTTTGATACCCTAAACCCTGAACCCGACTAAACCGTATAAATAAAAACGGAAATATCGGGACCATAAGGCGACTCTACGGGAACGCTTTTGCCTAGACACGTTTTGCATTATAGGTCTGGAAGCTCCAGAACGGGTAGCCTTACAAGAGCCCCGTTTCTTATGCCCTTACGGTAACCCTGAAAGGGAACCCCCTTAACGGAACCTCTATAGTAGCCCTGGAAAGGCAGCCCCTCAAGGAACCCTTAAGGAACACCCCCAGACTCGAAGCTCGAAACACCCAGACCCGGGAACTGTACATCCCTCCCAAACCCACGGGCAGCAACGATGAACGTCCGTACCCTCTACCCAAATCCAAAACCCGACACTCAACCCTAAACCCTAAACCCTAAACCCTAAACCCTAAACCCTGAACCCTAAGCCCTAAACCGCCTCCTCCGGCGTCTGTGGGGCCGCCCCTGGCATGGCTCCGGGAGAGGCGCCTGGCGCCGCGCCGGCGCCGGGCGTTTTCAAAGCATCGGACCTGAAGTGCTTACGGTACATTCAGGGTTATAAATTGGGTTTAGAATTAAGCTTGTTCTTCACAGCTCAACGGACTTGCTAACTTCCATAATCCTTCAAGTCCTGGATAGGCGTTGTTGCTGTGCGCACTCGGAATTTCAGCTCAGCGAAAAGACCCGTAACTTAACTTAGCTATACGGGCTTTGGGCTGAGGCTTAAGGACTTAGAGTCTAAGAGTATTGCCGCAGTTTTGCTCCCATCTTGCACGCTTGGAGAATCAATACCCACACTTAGCCTGGTGAGTACAAGTAAACTTGGGTGTACCTCCAAGAAGTACCGTTCCTGTCGCGACCGTCGTGAATCATTGGCACTGCTGCTTGTAGATTCTCGGAATGATGTTCAGCTGCTTTCTGTGTCTTGGGTTGCGTCGCGGGTTCGCAGGTAAACTCTGCAAGCACTTTCATCATTTGTTGATCTGGACCCCACGCCATAGATCCTTCCAGAATGCTGAATATGTGGCTCAGGAGGTCTAGGATTCAAGGTCCTCTAGATGTTGTGGACATTCCCCTGTGCACCCTGAGACACTCTAATGACTTACCAGGGATCCTACACCTGAAGACCCTGAAAGGAAGAGGCCTTTTTTCATAATCAGGGAGCCCCAAACAAAACCCTAAACCGACCCCCACACGATGCAGAACCTCCCTGTTCAGACGGCCTGGGCCGATCGTTGAGGATGGCTTTGCTGCACAGGAGCTGTGGTGGCTTTTGGGGTTCCGATAATCCGACGCCTTCGAGCTGCGACGTCGACACCCTTTACCCCAAACACCAAAGTCGATCTCCTAAGCTCCTACATCCTAGAAACCCCACATTCCTAAACTCAAGACCCGAGTCAACCCTAAACCCTAAACCCTAAACCCCAAACCCCAAGCCCTAAACCCTAAACCCTAAACCCTAAACCCTGCACCCTAAAACCCTAAACCCTAAACCCTAAACCCTAAGCCCTAAACCCTAACTTCTAAAGC